AGTGTTGATAGAGGATCCAAGCAAGATGAAGTCTTTTGATAACTTCAATCTTTTCTCCATTTATGGATGTTGTTTATTGGTCCAGTAGTAAGGATTTTTGTTTTTTTTTACATTGAGATGCAACCCATAATGTAGGTTGTGGTCTTTGTTCTTCATCAGTAAGTATTTTAAGCCCTCTTCACTTTCAGCAAGCAAGGTTGTATCACCTGCATATTTCAGGTTATTAACGAGTCTTCCTATAAAACTGATGCCACGTTTTCTTCATATAATCCAGCTTCCTGGATTATTTGCTCAGCATACATTTGAATAAGTATGGTGAAAGAACACAACTCTGGTGCATACCTTTCTTGATTTTAAACCATTCAATGTCCCCTTGTTCAAACAACTGTCTCTTGGTCTATGTACAGGTTCCTCATGAGCACAATTAAGTGTTCTGGAATATCTTTTCTCTGCAGCGTTGTCCATAGTTTATCATGATCCACACAGTCGAAAGCCTTTGCATAGTCAATAAAGCACAGGTAAACATCTTTCTAGTATTCTCTGCTTTTAGCCAAGATCCATCTGACGTCAGCAATGATATTCCTTGTTCCACATCCTGGTCTGAATCCAGCTTGAACATCTGGAAGTTCCCTGTCACTGAACTGTTACAGTCATTTTTGAATTATCTTTAGCAAAATTTTACTTGTTTGTGATATTAATGATATTGTCCTGATGATTTCTGCAGTCTGTTGAGTCACCTCTCTTTGGAATAGGCACTGATACGGATTTCTTCCAATCAGTTGTCCAGGTAGCTGTCTTCCAAATTTCTTGGCATAGATGAGTGAGTGCCTTCAGTGCTGCAACAGTCTGTTAAAAGATTTCAATTTTTATTCCATTAGTTCCTGGAGTCTTGTTTTTTGCCATGCCTTCAGTGAATATTGGACTATATGCTATCTCTTGAAATGTTTGAACATCGGCCATTTCTTTTTGGTACAGTTACTGTATATTCCTTTCATCTTTTAAAAAAATTTGTTCTGCATCATTCAATATTTTGCCCACAGAATCCTTTAGTATTTCAAGTAGAAGCTTGAATTTTTTCTTCAGTTCTTTCAGCTTGAGAAATGCCCAGCATGTTCTTCCCTTTTGGTTTCTAACTCAAAGTCTTTGCACATTTTATTATAATACTTGGCTTTATTTTCTCAAGCTGTCCTTTGAAATTTTATGTTCAGCTCTTTTTACCTCTTCATTTCTTCCATTTGCTTTAGCATCTCTATGCTGGACAGCAAGTTTCAAAGTCTCTTCTGCCATCCATTTTGCTCTTTTCCTTCTTTATTGTTTTCTTAATGAACTTTGCTTTCTTCTTTTATGATGTCATCCCACAATTTTCATGATCTTCAGTCACTAGTGTCTAATGCATCAAATCTGTTCTTGAGATGATCTCTAAATTCAGGTGGTGGTGGTGGTGGTTATGTGCCGTGGAGTCGGAACCAACTCATAGTGACCCTGTACAGGGTTTCCAAGGCTGTGAATCTTTATGGTGTGTTCAAAGTCATATTTGGCGCTCGTGGATTTGTCTTAATGGTCTGTTCTATAGTCTGCCACTGGCCTTGTTTTGGCTGATGATATGGAGCTTTTCCACCATTGCTTTCCACAGATGTAGTCAATTTGATTTCTGTGTATTGCTTCTGGTGAGTTCCATGTATATAATCATCTTTTATATTGTTTAAAAAAGATATTTGCAAAATTCTATCATGTGATTTCCAGCATTGTTTTTGTTACCAAGGCCATATTTTCCAACTACTGATCCTTCCTTTTTGTTTCCAACTTTTGCATTCCAATCACCAGTAATTATCAATACATTTTGATTGATTTTGATCAATTTCAGACTGAAAAAGTTGATAGAATTCTTCAATTTCGTGGTCACTGGCTTTATTGCTTGGTTCATCAATTTGAATAGTAGTGGTTTTAACTGGTCTTCCTTTTAAGCATACAGACATTATCCTATCACAGACAGCTTTATACTTCAAGACACATCTTGAAATGCTTTTTTAATGATAAAAACGCAATGCCATTTCTCTTCAATTTGTCATTCCTGGCATAGTAAATGATATAATTGTCTAATTAAAAATGGCC